AGGGTAGAGGTTCACTTCCTGCTGACCTTGAAAGTCGACACACACACATGCACACACACACAGACACACCGAGCAGGAAAGAGCAGATAGGAGCAACAGCTTGCCCCCTCTAAGTCGCTCTCTCCTCCCTGAGAAGGAGCCGTTGATCACCGTCCCGGCCACAGTTTGAGTACACAAAGAGACGGTATATCTGCAGAGTTTTGAGGGTGTGGGGTTGGAAGGGGGGGGGGTGGCGGCTAAGGGATTTCTCGGCCAGCTGGGCATGTGAGGTGGCGGGGGGGCCCCAGATGGTCAGAGGTGGGGGGTGAAGTCCTTGTTTGTGCGCGCAGAGGGGAGTAAGCACCAGGTTAGACACAACACTGGTGTTTGGGCTCCGGACACAGCGTGGCTCTGTGTGGGCGTGGAGTGGGGCACAGGGAATGTAGGGGAGATGGGTGTGGGGGCGGGGGGGCTTGTTTCCCTGATCCTGCTCTGTTTTTACATCCAGAAAGATCATAGAGGAACTGGTGAACTGAGGTTTGAGCCATGCAAGGTCTTGCGGTAATGAGTACCTGAAGTCCATTTCCTTTGTTGTATGATTCATTTTCCTGTTTTCCTCTAACCTGTGGAGCAGAGGGGGGGTCACTGCAGAGCTCGAGGAAACAATGCCTGGTCTCGCTTTAGTTTTCTGCCTTGTTCCTTCTTTTCTCCTGTTCCGTCTTCAGGGTCTTTTTGTTAGAAACTCCTCTCATACTTTCTCATAAGATATTCTTCACTGCTGCTGCCCATTAAAAAGTCTGGTTTTATTCACCTGCTCAGATCAGTTTTCCGTTCTGTCTAAACAGGGTTTGAAAGATCTTTCTAAAAAAAAAAACTGGAGGTGTGCAACGGTTTCTTTGTATTTGTCTGAAGTCTTTTATATAGTTATTTGTAAAATACTCTCTTTAACAATTTGTTTGAAAGGATCACTCGTATTACACATTTCCATGAAACTTGGTGGAAGGATGGGACATGGGCGCAGAAAGAACCCATTTAACCCTTTTAATATTTTGTTTTAAATTTGTTTAACAATTTCTTACAAAATAAATCATGCACTTAATGAAAAATAACTGGCTTGTTAAGGCGCCTGGTGTGTGTGTGTGTAGTGTGGTGCCGTTTCATTAAATTTAAAAGGTCTGTGGGGCCTTGCCGGAGGTAAGTGCTCTACTGATTGTCATTCTCATCAAATTTAGGAAAAGTAAATATCACCTCTGTACCAATGTGCATTTTTTTTCAATGTAATAAAGTTGTTTTGACTTTACCTCACTGAGTGAATGCATTGATTTCAGAAATGCTTTTGAAATAACTGATTTCTGAGGTGAGTCGATTAAACAAACACCACAGTGACACCCAGAATATGCAGGTTTGTCTTTATGTTAAACTTGACACTTTGATTAACTTTTATTCAATGAGATTAACGACTTACTGTAAATGTTCATATCTGTCATTGTGCTGAAAAACTGAAATAGACCAAAAAAATTCACACAATCATCGTCCGCTAGAGCCCCAGACATCCTCCCATGTCACCATGCAGTGTTACTACAGCCAATAGAGACTGAAGCTGTGTCATGCTATGCCCGGTAAGGCAGAGCCACCACAGCATGCTGTGCCCAGTCACCATGGTGACCAGAGTTAGCGGTCACCATGCTGTGATCGACCACGGACAAGCTGAGACTCCACCGAGCCTTTTCGGCCTCCTGTCATTGCTACGAGGAAGTAGAAGCCTTTTAATGTGGGCTGGTTAGCATACCATCACAGGCATGAAAGTGTTTATTAGAAACTACTGTGCCCTCAATGTACATGTTCCGAATATATTTGTGATGCACAGCACATTGTAAGCATGTTGTTAGCATTTTCATTGTAGTAGAATATTTTAACTCCAGTGTTTATGTGCGTTAAGGGCCCCAGCGTGTTCAGTATGCGTAGTACGCAGCTGCCGTGCGTGATGGAGAATCTGTTCTGTATTCCCGAGGCCGTGTTGTAGGATTGTTACTTCTTTAATTATTCTCTCATATTAAAGGATCAAAGGTCTCTGCCACAGTCAAGCCCCTGAATTTCATTATAACTGTGCACACACACTTAAATAGTCTTCTGTATGCATGTACATTTACATGGACACACGTGGGGAGGGTATCGGCTGTGTTCAATTTTTAGAATTTTCAATGTGATTTCCTGTGATTATAACGGGGTAAACGCTGGCCTTCTCAAGTTTCCCACTGAAGAACCCAGCGTGTTAGTTTTGATTCGGCTCCTCAGTGAGATTTTTCTTTATCAACCAAGAGCTTGCACCAGAACTCAGAAGGGCGTCACTGATCACCCTCTGGCAGGAGGGATAGAGCATGTTTTATTCTCCTCAAGTACTTTCATGTCTGGTGTGTGTGAACATCATGTGTTTGTGTGTATTCATACCCACACATGCTTAAATGCACGAGTGTGCTGGTGTGTGTTGCTCTGTGTCGTTGCCCTCTCCCTCGCTTTTGCGGCACTGGACCAAACCAGTCCTCTCTTCTGTGTCCAGAGGATTCTCCCACTGATGGCTGGCTGCACCAGCACTGTGTTCTTTGACACTCACAGCTCCTCGGTGCTCCCACGATGCCCCTGTGCTGTCACCACTCTGCTGCACGGTGGCTGGCAGGAAGGGGAGTGTAATTAGGGCGTATACCCAAGCCTATACCAGGGCCAGAGAGAGGAAAAGGGAGGAAGAAGGGGAAGAGGAGAGGAGGAGGGGGGGCTGACAGTTTGACATCAGTGGGGCACGGCGTCTCTGTAATTGCTGGCGTGCATATGGCGCGGGCCGATGTTGGAGGCTTGTGGGAGAAAGAGGGGTTGGAGGAGTCAGAAATAGGAGGAAGAGCACGGACGGGATATAGCCTCAGAAGGAATAGATGGGGGGGATGAGTTTGTGTCACTGAAAGTGGGGAGAGAAGAGGGAGGAGAGGGAAGGAGTGAGGGGGAATGCAGATTGGGTGGGTTAGGTGGTGGAAACACGACCTTAGCAGTGAAGAAGAAGCTGGAGGTGAATGACATGTGTTGCAGGGGTGCAGCATGTTGACGCAGCACGCGCCTGTTATTTCATGCATGTACGTACACACCCACCCACACACTGGTGCAGTTAATCAAACATTTCCATTTTTGTATTCATGCCTGTGTGTGTGTTTGTGTTGGTGATGCTTACACTGGCTCATGTGCTGTTGTGTTCTCTTAACCAACAATTTTGTGTCTTTGTTTGGCTGTAATTAGTGCCCACAGGTAATAGAGGTATCATACGTGGCCACACACACATTCGCTGGGGGGGATATTGATCACAGGAGTGTGTGTGAGCATGCATGTGTGTCCAGAGCAAGGGACCCTGATCGATTGTGTCCTGTCCGGTTGATAGATCACCAATTCTGCACGCTAGCTATTGAGCAGGGAAGCAGCTTTGGGGATACCTGCCTCCAGAGTCTCACCTACAACCACATGAGGCACTGTTTTTATCTCGTTCTAAAGAAATACACAATGTCACAGATTCAAAGTTGACATGGATTTCAGCTTTTTCATTCTTTATTTTTTTGTCGCACGATCCAGCTCCCCTCCTCTCAGACTGTCTCCTGTCATTCCTCCCCTCATTGCTCCATCCATCTTTGAAACCCTCCGCTGGAGCATCTCACGGCTCCCGTCACGTCTATCTCTTTCATTTTGGTTTTCATCTCTTCTGTCTCCTCCTTTTTCACTCAATTCCTCCACTCATTGATCCTTTTGGTTTCGTCTCTGTCCGCCTACTTAACTCTAGACTGTTTTGCCAACCGCCACCACTGCCACTGCCGCCTCCTCCCCATTCCACGCTCTTTTTTCCTCCCATGTTCCCCTCCACTGGTTCCCAGCACTCTCTTCCTCTCTCCTCCGCTCTGTCACCCCTCCATAAAGACTCCCACTGACAGACCAGCACCTTCTGCCCAAGCCACATTCTGCCCCTCATTCTTCTCTCCTGTGCTCCAATGCGAAGAAGAGACCAATTAAAGTCGGTTTCCTCTCCTCTTGCACGCCGTTGTTGCCCTCTCTGTGTCTCTCACTCAGACTCTCTGGGGTCGCTAATTAAAGCACTTCACTTTACTTTTTATACTTTCTTCCACCTGTTCATGCAGCATCTCTCCTCCTCTGACTTCTTTATTCTACCTTTCTTCTTTAACCTGTTTAAACAACTCTCTCTTTTCATCAGTCTTTCTCTGGGCCTCGTCTCAGTTCGCACCATCACTCACATTTTTTCCGTCCACTTCTCACAAATTTCTCTCATTCCTTGTCCCCCGTTTTGTCTCGTCATGCTGCTGTAATCAATTTACTATCTACGTACTTCTCTGTCTTTGTCCTACATGTGCCTCTCTGAGTCTTTCTCTCATGCTTCCTTTCTCCATATTAGTTTGTACATGGGTAACTCTTTATACTGTAGCTGACAGGAAGTCTAAAGGAGCATACATTATGCAGCCCTTCTGTTCTAATGATGCGGTCTTGTCCAGAGTTGTTGTTATGCCTAAAGCCAGTCAACCTTGACTGAAGTCGTGGTTGTGCATGCACACGCACGTCCGCTTTAGTCCGTACATGCCTGTGTGTGGAAATGTGTAGAGGGAGAGAGAAAAGCAGAGCGAGTCGGGTTTATTTTACACTGAATTCCCCTCAGCGGTTTTGATTAGCATACAAGGATTTCTATCTCTCTCTAAACACCGTTCCCTTGCTGGTCTGAAAATGAAATGAACATGTATCATTGTGCATCAAATCCCAAAACATCCTTTAACACTCGCACTCTGCTTTATGACCCTGTGTAATTGTTATATGTAATATTGATGAACTATCAATCTGCTGGAACCAGCCACATTCCTCCAGGCGCAAAGGAATTACTTTCTCTGTCTGTCTATGCTTAATCACCAACTCTTCTTCCCTCTCTGTCACGTATCAATTGATGTAATCACCATGTGAAATATTAATGCTGTTGTCATTCTGCCTTCCAGGTTAACGACAGGAGGTCTGTCCATCCAGGTGAATCTGAACGACTACCTGGACATCTACTGCCCCCACTTTCCCAACAAGGAAACCCTGGGCCCCAGGCAGCCGGAGACGCTGGCCCTCTACCTGGTTAGAGAGGCATCGTTTCAGGGCTGCGTGGAGACCAAAGGGGCAATCAAGAGATGGGAGTGTAACACCCCCTACGCTCCATTTGGACCAGTGCGCTTCTCTGAGAAGATCCAAAGGTTCACACCCTTCTCACTGGGGTTTGAGTTTCTCCCAGGGCACCACTACTACTACAGCTGTAAGTAAAGAATACATACATATATACATAATATATCTTGTAGTTTTTGATATTCAGACTAAACTCAAAACATATAACTTAACTTTGCCTGCAGTTTCTGCTCGGCTTTGCAGGTTGACAGTCTCGCCACGTGTCCCGTGCGTCTCAGTCGGAGAGTCTCTCTGGCAGCTCCTCTGCTGCCCTTTAAACCTGAGGGTCAATCACCTCATTGCTCTCACCTGCGCTCATAGATCCTCTGGTACAGATGGAGGTGCTCTCCCAGCCACTGCATCAATGACATCAATGACTTTAATGACTTCAATATTTAAAATCCTAATCAGTTAATCAAAAAATGGCTTTAGTACAGTCCACATTCAAGACCTGTGTGATTCAAGCGTGGCTGTAAATGTGTGTTTTTGTGATAAATGTATTTTTTAGTGAAACAATGATCATTCGCTCCAGGCTCCATATTCTGAGAGCCGAGTAAAACGGCCCGAAAAGAGAGAAGATGTGTAAATATTTGATGTTTCACTTCATCAGTCTGTGCAAAGACACCGGTGTTAAAGCCTGTGACCAGGCTGCCCCAGTCTTTCAAGGGACGAAGCATCTTTAGCCAGTGTTGAGTTCTGGCAAACAGCAACATATGGCTGTAATATTTTTCCATAAATTCACACTGAATTACATCTTAAACCTTTCAGGCTCATACACAGTTTTAGTGATGCTCTCCTATTTCTCCAGTACAGCCCCTGTGTTCCTCACTCATTTACTTCAACCCAGTGGAGGGAGAAAAGGGAGGGAGAGAGACAGAAGATGGCTTAGCGGCTGTAAAAATCAGTTTACATTCTCTTTTTTCCACTTTTTACAACTCCTGGTGTCCAACCAAGAGCGGGAGGACATGAAACAAGGCAGAGAATGAAAGAGTCAAGTGAATGCGCACTATGGAAGGGTGACAACAAAGAGACAGAGGGGCCGCAAAGTGCAGGAGGAAGAAATGGAGATCAATATGTGACGACAGTGAAGGGGGAAGGAAAAAAAGGCAGGCAGAGAAGCAGACAGAGGTAGAGAAGCGTGGAGGAGTGACAGAGGGAGAGAAAGAGCAAAAGATGGACACAGTCTGACAGTACAGGAAGGGGAGGGGGGAGAGAGGGATGAGAGAGGCCAGATGAGTGGAATCCACACTGGAGGAAGAAAAGGGAGAGCAACAAAAGCGACGGAGAACGGAGGGATGGATGAGACTAAAGGAGAGAAAGAATCTTTACATAAATTACTGTTGCGGTTTGAAGGACAATGGAGCATTGTGAGGGCATGAGAGAGTGGTTCCACACACACGCTAACACACACACATGTATATATGTACACACACACACACACACTGGGCTATTGTGGTTGCTCAGGCCAGTTCACAGAGAAGCAACAATGGGTGCCCCCCCCCCCCTTGGTTGGGCCGCATCAGGCTCAGAGCGATTGTGTGTTTTGTCCACATCAAAGATAAGGCGTAAAGTTGGTCCAAATGTCTGGCTCTGGGGTCTGTGTGCTGAATGGGCCTGCAGCACTGGAGACAGTATAATGGCATTAGCCTGGGAGAACAGTACAATAGTATTAGAAACACTAATGGCATTAGTTGGCTCAGTCTGAGCTGGGCTCAGCTCCTCTCACTGGCTCCCACAAACTATGACACTGACGAGCCTCAGGGTCTGTGGGTCTCTGACCCACTGCCCAGGCTGCTGACCAACGCCCACTGGATCTACATGTCTGGATCGCCACAAACAGGAAGCACCTTAACATCCTCTGACAGCCAGCTGCTCACAACACTGAACCAAAGAGTTCAAAGCACCAACCTTTTAGTTTGAACATTTTAAAATGCTGCAAATAACTAGTCCAATGTTTTCCAAAAACACAGTCAAAGTAGATATACAGGTAAACACAAGAAAAACTAGTTTCCAGGAGAAACTAAAACCCAATCAAGACACCAGTATTTTGTCCAAGCTAATGAATCACACTTGTGTATTGTTAAGGGCCCAAGGAAGTGCAGCGTTTAATTAGGTGTGATTTACATTATACCACTACAGATTCTCCAGTTTTGGGAGTCGAGCTTCACCAAACTCTGATTAAATAGGTGAACAGCTCTTCGTGCAGCAGCGGTGTCTTCAGGGTTCTGTGGACTGAGTCCTGCAGCATGTCTTTACTTTCAGCTGTTCAATTACTGCAGGTCACTTTTACAGTTTCTGAGAGTAAACTGTTGAATCAATCCCTGTTTGAAAGTCTGAATTCTGAGTTTATAAATCCACTAGTGCCCCTCAAAATGCCACAGTGGAACAAAAAGCATGAACACCTCTTTCTGCCACTGACTTCAGTGACGATACACCTGTCAGTGATGACAGGAAATGACAGTGATTAATAAGCTGAGTGTTTGAAATCTTAATTATCTGCTCAATGTACCATAAACTACTAATCGTTGATTATACTGGGAGTTTCTGCATACAGTAGTTTTTCATTCATTTGCAGTGTTAGTTTCCTCAATACAATATACTAGACTTCTTAAAGTAATGAAAGTGTTTCTATGTCTGTCCATCCGTCTGTCTGTGCCATTCTTGTGAACCTGATATTTCAACAATGCCCAGAGGGAATTCCTTCAAACTTGGTACAAAGGTTCATTTTGACCCCAGGATAAACTCAATGTGATGGTGTCCTCACAAAACCCTTTTTCTTTACCTTGTGAACGTGTTATCTTAAGAACACCAGGAGAGAATACTTTCTAATTTTGCACAAATATACACTTATATTCACAGATGAACTAATTAGATCTGGATGTTCAAAAGTCATAGGTTAAGATCATGGTGGACTCACAAAATATGTCTCTTGAACATGCTATCTTAAGTCTGCCTTTTGGCCAAAGGTAAAGGTCATGGTGACCTTTTACATGTATGTAGACTGAAACTGCACTGGTTGACGGAGGCATACAACCCCAGGGCAGTAATCCTTGTTCCTCTTATTTTTCCGTGCATGTGTGTGTGTTGAGCTCTTCTGTAAACTGTTAATATTGACTAATGACGTAGTCCCACTGTTAGTTCGTGTCGAAGCGTATCTCTTGAATTTATAGCTAGAAAGTGAGACAGACTGTTTGGCATCATATGCTCGGCTTGTGCAGTGGGTCCCTGTTGAGTTAGCAGCTGTTTGTGAATTATTCAAATATAAAGTCATTTAACTGCACTTTCCAGACAGATTTGTTTTGTAAAAGCAATGCTGAACCGACAGGTAATATAGTTGATGGTTGCCCATTTTCCCATGTGAGCCATGATCAGAACTGATATCGGAGCTGTTGCCTACTTTTATGGCTGCACTCTCAATTGTGTGTTTTATTGTTTTTATTTAGTTGCCTAGATAAGGGTGATGTGTGGTTAGTCTCAGTGACACAGCGAGATGGTGTAATTCTTTATCTTGATATCATGAGGTATTGATGTGGTGAAAACAGGAAAACAACCTCACTGCTCTGCTCATGATAAGAATTCCTCACAAGTAGCAGAAGAGACTCTTTAGAGATTTGATGGAAGCATTTCATCCAGCAAAAATCTTTTATTTAACACTTTTGAGTATATGTTATTGGTTTTAAGCTGCTTATCTACACCTTTCTCTTTTTGTTCTTTCCAGCTCTACCCACAGATGAAGGCCCTCTTCTGCCATGTATGAAGTTGCGTGTCACTGTGTGTTGTGAGCCCAGTGAGTACACTCCTCTTTTCATCTGGTCCTCCTTTCATGCTTCTCCTCTGTGCACCAAGAAACTCTTCTCTCAGCAGCTCACATCTCTGCTATCAGGACAGTCCAGCATCATGCATGAACCGCTACTTATCACGTTACCCTTCTCTGAGTCCTTTTTATAAACAACACTCATCTCTCCATTTTGGCTTTTAAAACTATCAGATTTAATTTTTTGAAAACATTACTTCTCTTTTAAAGTGCAACTCTCTTCTCCTCCCTTCGCCGCCTCTATACCTCCTTTTTCTCTCTTTTTTTTTGCCTCCTTGTCCCCCACGTTCTCCCAGTCTCCATCTCTCTGTCCCAGCGTGAAATTCCCAGAGTTGATCTAATCCAGAGGCCGCCTGGAGTAACGTTAGTCTTCCAGTCCAGTGAGCTGCCTGTTCCGGTTGGGAATGTTGCCCAGTCACTGTGGGAATCCCTGTACAGTTGTTGGTGTGTGCATGTGCGTGCGTGCGTGTGTGTGTGAGCATTTCTATGACAAGTTTTGTGTCTGTGGACCTCCTGCATGAGTCTATGGTTCTTTGCGTGTGTCCTCTGGCAGTTTAATTTGTTCAAGTTTGTGTGTGTGTGATTTCCGAGACGTCTGTCCCAGTTCCCGTCCCAGTGCTATCTGCAGGGTGCTTGTTGTGCTGGCCTAACCTGATCTAACACACTTTGGTTGTGTGTCCCTTCGTGTGCGTACCACAAGTAATCACTACATTCCCACACGCCTTCAATAGCAAATTCCTCCCAATCCCACCACCTTGATTAAATTTGAGTCAGTTTGGCATCAAGGAAAAGAAAATATTAAAAACCTGGAATAAAAAAAAGTCAGATCCGTCTCCAGTGGATTTGTAAATGCCATCACAGTTGTAGTGCGAGACGAGGAGTAATTTGCTCCGTTATTACCAGAGTGAAGGCTGATTACTTTTTTTTATGTTAATTATCCTGCTGTCATTAATTAGAAATACCACAGATAGTGTGTGAAAATGCTAATGTAGTCTTGACCTTCTGACAGTATTCCCACATCAGCGTATCTGAGCCGGAATTAATCAAAATATTTGATATCACCTGGATTATGTATGCTGACACACACACACACACACACACACACACACACACACACACACTTGACTTTAAAGTTAAGATCCTTTCACATTAAAAAAAGATTTCTACCTACAAAGACACTCAGACTTCTGTTTCCTTTTTCTCTCTCCCTCTCATCCTGTCCCTTTACCAAAACTAATCCCAACTAAATTTGGGGTTCTCCCTTTCCTCGTCCTCCCCCGTCTGTCTGTCTGTCTCCCCCCTCCCCTCTCACCCTCCCTCTCCCCCCTCCACCGCTCCATCCTCCCGTTCTTTCTCTCCACTCTTGTCATTCCTGAAGTGGCACTAATCCTCCCCTTCTCTCTGTCTCCTCAGCTCTAACCTCCCTTCCTCATTTTTTATGATCTTTCGCTACTGGAGCAAAACTAATCTAGGCACCATCCATGGCGAGTCTCATACACTTCCTCGCCACCCAGCCCACCCCCCACCCCATTTGACTCCGCCCCACCCCCCTCACCTTCCCCCATATCTGTTTTACAGCTATTCACCGACTCTCCCGTGCCGCCCCTGTTCCTACGCTCCATCTCTGTCGCGTACACACTGCGCGACGAGTGCGTTGGGACGAGAATACGCGCGGCTGGAGAGGGGAGAGCGACTGAGATGGATGAGAGAGGTGATGAAGGAGAGTTGGAGGGTCTCTCTCTCTCTCCCTCTCTCTCTCTCGACTGTCCATTAGTGGCAGTTTCCCCACAGCTGTTGTTGTGTTGTTCCCTGTGGTAACACCTCACATACTCCCTGGTTCCTTCCTGCTCAGGTTCCCTTTTATCTGACAGGCAGCATGGCAGCAGGACGCACCGTGCCTGTATGTTCAGTGTGTCAGTGCGTGTGTGTGTGTGAGAGAGAGAGAGAGAGAGAGAGAGGGGGGCAGTGGCTCTCGTCCTTCAGCTATATCTTGTCTCTTATCCAAACTTCAAAATGTGCACCTCCCTCCCTTCTTATACCCAAACTAAAAAGTAGTTCCACTTGGGGATGCCCTGTTGTGGGTGTTTAAATTAATTACCACCGAGTGCACTACTAACACACCCACACACACACACACACACACACACACACACACACACACACACACACAGACCTGCTTCACACTGGTCTGAAGGACAGAGTGGTGACAGTGCGAGGGCCCGTCAGGTACACTGTCATTGCTCCAAGGTCAGCTACCTCTCTTCGGTCCCTCGGCCTCCTCTCCGGTGTGTGAACGTGTGTGTTTATCGCCTTAATTTAACCCAACAACACAACACACCAGGCAGGACAGTTGCAGTGACACAGGAGGCTCCTAATGACATTCTCTGCGAGTCAGTGTGTGTGTGCCTGATGTTCCTTGTTTCTTGTATTTTTCCAATCCTGGCCTTTGGTTGAAGTATTGTAAAGCCTTTTCTTTTTTTAGGTTTTTCAGAATAGTGATGTGAGTGAGGATGTGATGTTTATTTGAACTCCACGCTGTCACGGATCATGCCAGAGAACGAGGCTTCACTGAAAGGTGCTTGAGCCTGTGTTGCGTCAGAAAACAAGGCTCTGAATTGGCGTCGGCAGAGTGGTGCCATGTGAAATCTCCGGCACCCTGCAGCCCCTCTATTGCGTCTTTGACCTGCTCTCTTCGCCTCTTACTCCACACTTACCTTTTTTTGTTTTTCACTGCAACTTCTCCTGCAAACTCCTCCTGTTGTTTATCCCCCTGTTCTCCTTGTCACTCCGTCTTTCTCTTTTTTCTGCCGTCCTACTGCGAGAAACCATTATACACCAACTTTCCTCTTTCTAATTGATTTCCTTTTTCCCTCCATCTCGCTTTTCTTTTTTTTATTCTGGTTTCCCCGCTGTGAGTAGTCCATTGCTCTCATTTAAGTTTGTAGAGCTTTCCCCACTTTCTGTCTCCTTCTTCCTCCTGCAGTTTTTTTTAGACATTTCTTTCCTCACTACCCTCCTTTACCCCCTCCACTCCTGCCCAAATACCTTTGTACCCTCTGAACCTGACACACACACACACACACACACACACACACACCGACAAAACTTGAACACACACATGAACGCGCACCGTCTACCCAGACAAGGTCTCAAAGACCAAGAACTCGACAAATAGGATTTCCGCAACTTTTTTCTGACTCGTTTTGTTATTTAGTTTTTCTCTTTTTGCAAATGTTTCACTTTTAGTTTGGTTAGCAGTCAAGGTTGGTTAGCATTAGCTCCTGTGTGTGTAAAATGGTGGCGTGTGAGGAGAGGTGGAATGGTGGAACAGTGTCTGTCTCTGCAGTGGGGCGTTCTGCTGACTGGAGACACACACACACATGCGCGCGCACACACATACACACATACACACAAACACACACTTAGCCATAGTTGTGCATGTACAGTTACACAGGCTGCATGTTTCTGACTGCAGTGCAGAGAAGGCACTGCTCTCGCAGTCACGCCACCGTGGACGCCATTTTGTGGTGGAGCACGCCATGTCCAAAATTAAGATGTTGACACAAATGGGCGTCCTCAGATTTTTTGCACAAATTATGTGATCAAAGCCAGATCAAAACACACATATCACACACAGCCGGGTAAACTCGAGGCATTTTTCATGAGCATGTTCGGGTTTCGAAACGCAGCGTTACACACACGCTAAGTGACAGCGCACAGTACACTTTACTTAAATATAAGTCTGATATTAAAAACATAACTGTGATTGTCTTTTTATTTTTATAAGGAGGTTTTTTTTTACTAACACAATAATTGCCACATTCAAAAATATGTACAATCAGAAAAATTTCCTGAAGTTTGAACTCATGATTATTATTTTTTTAACAGTTTTGGGAAGTTTTATAAATTTAAAAAATTTTGGGCGAAAATGCTAATATTGGACAATTTCTGTTCCTGTTTTATTGACACAATTTGAAATTGGAAGAAATGTTAATTAACATTGCTGATTAAATACAGTTTGATATCAGAATTGCATATATTATAAAAAATGTACTTTATTGACGTCTTTTATATAATTTTTTATTTTATTTTACGCAAATACAGCAGCCGCTCTATTACGCATGAAGTGTTTGAGTATTATCTTTTCTGTTTGCTTTGATTTTTTTTCTTCCCACAAACACGCACACAAACCCTCAGACACAAACACACACACACACACACACAGTGGCCCAGTGAGAGGCCCAGACCCAGCATGCTATTTAATGCTTCGTTAACCCCTCGATGGTCGTTAGCTGTACAAAACCTGGGAGTAATTTAGTGGCTCATGTCTGTCGGAGCGACGTGTTGCTGCAGGGACCTGTAGCTGCAAGACAGATATTATAGAGACAAACGCTGTGTTCCTCTGCTAAGCCTCCATTTCACAAATCCTTCCTCTCTGTGTGACTCTACTGTAACAGATGAGTTTGGAGCGTCCCATTTCCTCTCTCGTAATCTCAGTCAATCGTTATGGGATGCGGAGAAGTGATAGTTTTCTCCGATGTGTGTGTGGGTGCATGTTTGTGTGAGGTTGCGGTGTCGGAGGTGGGCTCAGGGCTGTAAATCGATTTAATAACAGCTGCGATTGTGCAGCCTCATCCCTGTTTCCTGGCCCCTCCATCCTCTCTCACACACGTTACATGCCGCTTTTCTTTTCTGAGGAGATTTAAGCATTTCCTTTTTTTTTTTCAGCCTCACTATACCTGCATTTTTCTCTCTAGCTCTCCCACTCCTCCGTCCCACAATTCCTCCATCCGTCCCTCCATTATTTCCTTTTAGTCCAGCCCCCTGCTGAGAAAGTGACGCCCAGACACAAACACCCCCCCTCCTATCCCGTCTCTTTCTCTCCCTCCCTCCCTTCTCTCTCTCTCTGTCTGACCTTGTTTCAATCTTTCCAACCTTCTTTTTTCTCGCCGTACTTTCTCACTTGAGTCTCCACCACTCTTCCTTTCATCTTCTGTCCACTTCGTGGTTTCGCTCTGTCATTTTGAATTTTCTTGTTTTTTTCCCACCCCCTTTCTTTTTCATTTCCTATATCCGCTCTTTATAATCTCGATCACTCTTACTCCCTCTCTCATTTACATAACACTATATTTTCCTGTTGCCATGCTTCTCAAGCTCTTTTTTTATCCGACCTTTAAGAGAATTTGCATAGGGGACATATTTAGGATTGCACAGCCAGTCAGTACTCATTTTTCATGGCGTTAGGCTTTGAGTAATGGTAAATACCTTCCCCTGGTCATTTGTCTGTTTCTTGCTCCTTTTTGTTCCACAAAGCAGTAGCTGTATTGAGAAAGTTAAGCATGCAGAAATGACTAATCAGCAACTTGTTTCTTTGCCTCAACTTTATCTAAATCTCTCTCTCCCCCTGCTCTCTCTCTTATTACAGCATCAGAGGGTTTAAAACAAACACAAGGTGAGATGCCGCATTTTGAATACAATTTATTCTCGAGCTTAGGAAGCCTTGATTACAGTAAACGAGTCTCAACTCAGTTTCTCTCGTCTTCTTCTCTCAAGTTCAAATGTGCTTTATTTAATTATAGGAAGGGCAGGAATGTGGCGAATAATATCCATAAAGACGAAACACAAACATGCATAAAGCAAATGTTGCTTAATCGGTAACAGAAATAAGTGGAATGGAAAAAACAACCCAAACAGAGAATGTGCACAGCCACTCATTACACCCACATGTGCTTCTTGAACTCATGTTACCAAAACCCTGAGCATTAATGCACTGCAATAACAACCTCCTCTCTTCAGGGAAGTTTTTCTACGGTAATTTAGACCCTGGCTGCGGAGATCTTTGATCCCATTCAGCCACAAGACACATCAGTGTGGTCGGCCACAGATGTCGGGCAATAAGATCTGGAGCGCAGTCAGTACGTCAGATAGGATTGAGGTCAGGGCTCTGAGCAGGCAGGGGCAAGTTAGAAAATGAAGATCCTTCTTCAATTCTTCCTGTTGAAGAATTCAAGAATAAGATGCTCTTCATTTGGAAAACAGCCACAGATCAGAAGAAGCTCCCGTCCAGTTACTTTATATCATATGCTGTATATTACACACAATCTCATGCAGGTTTCCATCTCTCTTTCAGTAACTGTACCTCAGAGTAGTTCTTCCTCACTGCGGATAGCTCCACTCCTCTTCATCCTTCTCCTGCTGACTACCTGACCCCCTCGTCTGTCCTCACCACCGACCTCGCTCCTGCTCTCCACAAGGATCAGGAGTCACTACTCAGACGATCAAGTACACAATGCAATCTACGCTCAGACAGCGAATGACACAATGCAATCTACGCTAAGCTATTGCAAATGACCAACATTACCTTGTGAGTGTTTGACCTGTGAAATTCCAGGAAGAATATTCTCTGGTGTCTTCTTCAGAAAACAGTGGCCACAGTGACTCAGGGACTGATTTACCGAATCACTGTGATTCATTTCTTGTTATTTCCTTCTGCCACTTGTAAGTAGCAGCTCAGAATATTACACACAGAGCTAGGCCTAGTCATAAGACTCATATCCCAGTCTGCCTCTGCCAGAAGAACAATGAGTCTGTCTGGACGTGTTCCAGCAAAGTTCTCTCACTTTTTCATTTCTGTTCCTCATCCTGTTTTTCTTTTTCTACTTAGATTCCTGTATTTGCTTTTTTATTTTTTTTTAAACCTGTCTCCAGTTGAGAATTGGCCAAATAAACACATTCTACTGCACTGAGTGGCTCAGGTTGGAGGTCGATCAGTCAGCTGGTGACTTTTTTTTCTTTCCCGTTATGCTGGATATGGCCAGACAAAATTAATTTACTCATTTATAACTGCCTAGTTTACATCTGAGAATATTAAATGTGTTTTAAAGCTAATTAGATTTCTTGGAAAGGGGATTTTTAAGAAGAAATGAGGATTATTCGGGAAAAGTCAGGAAAAGCTCCTGCGCCCCCTACTGGGATCAGACTGGTTTAACTGGAATTGGACTGGGTTGGCCCCGAACCCAGAACCTGGACACTCGATTTTGGTGGTATGTGGTAATAATGGCATCTGGGACTAAGATTGTTCCTCTCTGACTGGACCCCCAGTTATTCTGCCTCCCCAGCCTCTCTGTTTACTCATAAACAGAGAGCATCAACACGTCTGTCTTCACTGAACACTCTGCAGACCACTGAGGAGGCTGACCATGTGTGGAGATGTGGCACACCAGCATTTTGTTCCTTGCGTTGTTTATTGTTTTCACAGGATTCTTGATGTTAGCTTTAACTGTATAGTTAATATATTCTGCACAATAAGATGTATTAACTGTATAAGTCAGTGATTTAGTAAGATCTGATATTTAAATGCAAACAACTGGAAATAATGGCTTTTTTACCTACACAGACAATGATTTATATTCTGGATATATATGGATTTAATGGATTCTTATCAACATGCTCTGCTACAATGTAGTTTCCCAAGTGAAAGGATTTAACGGTGGAATTTATTTAATATTGTATGCCATTTAGTTTCTTAAAGAAATGGCTCTAATTGACTTTCGTCGATTAAGAAAATATTACAAGTAATTACATATTAATTTACTTAATTTTAAGATTGTAATTGAAGATAATAAATCTGTGTATTTTCTTAATGAAATTAAATATATAAGGTTAAATCATTATTTCCCCACAATATTTGAGTGATTTGAGGTCAGAAAATCTATAGATTAATTATATCATTTATTCTAAAAAAAATACTACATTGTTAGCACTTAATATATTTCTTTTCTTCAAAGCAGTCACACCAGTCATTGTTTTGTTTATTTCCAAAATGGGTGATGAAAACCAATGTTTAAAAATGTTTAATTTCAACGATGTAGAATTTTACAATCATGTACTTGTAGGATTATGATGTTGATTTCTTAATGTGTGTGTGTTTGTAACGTGTTTCACATTTTAGTGAAAAATGTAGCTTCTTCTGTGAAGAGCCAACTGCAATCTGAGCCTTTTTTTTTTACGTGGCACGTCAAAATAAATATGATTGCATTAAAACAATGAGTCGGTCATAATTTAACTGTTGACAGTGACAACACACAAACAAATAACTTTATTTGTGGAACACACACTTCAGTGTAATACACAGGAGTATGGAGATAAGAAGACTACGGGGACTTGAAATGACCTTGTGGTGTAAGAGGCCATTGTAATGTGAGTAACCTCGTGGAGTATTGAGCTGACTTTTTATCTACAGGCCGTCTGATAAGACTCAGATACCCAATAGACTCCCGGTATTAATAGACCCTGAACACCAATACGCAGACCTTAAAGTGCTTACTGTATTTATTTTCAACAAACAGAGGACCGGGGCTGAATACAGAACGAGAGGAGGAGGTTTGCAATGTTTGTTTTGTGCTTTAAATATAGAAGTCTATGTCCAAATTAGCTGTAAATGCATTTCCATTTATATAGGCTGTAATGTTGAGCCTCTTGTGAAGCCAGAAAGGCAATTTCCTGGATAATAGAGCTAATGCTCCTATTTCATGGTTTATGATCCCTTCTGATGACATGTTTGTCACTGTGGAGGCATGTTGTTGTGAACTGGCTTTGATTCTGACCTTCATGTATACATTTCCCAAGCCCATGTTTTCATTCTTTTCTCCGCTGCGAAGGATGAAGTCAGCGTATAAATCATCGGGTAAAAAGGAAAAGGACCTTAAACGCAGCGGCAGTCCACTCCCATCTTGTTTGTTCCAACTGTTTATTCCAGCAACAGCATGATCACATCAGAAACCTTTAGATGAATCTGTGACAGTTTTAACTTTGATTCCCAACAGGAAATGTTTTCCAAAGGTTTTTCTCATGTTCATAACTTTTTCTCTTGTAAAACTTCTGCCGAATTAATTTCCCCTTCAAAAATAAACTTTATAATTATGGACAGATGTTGACAGATTATTTAAATTTAGAAAATCATAAAATTCCCACGTCAAACTTTTCCTGCGGGACTTTCTGGGACAACTGTGATCATAAACAATTTCTGGCAAAAACAAAATTAGTTTTTAACTGTCTGACGAAAGAAAAAAAATCCATATTGCATATCCACACTGCAGATCTCTTCTCCACAAATTACACTGTAATTACGCTGCTTCAGATTTCAACACAGCAGGTTCTGTAGCCACAAGTTGGCCGGTGTTTAATTGCTGCTTGGCTAAATGTTCAAGGCTCGGGTTGCTGGTGTTGATGACGTCATCACAAATACAAAACAGTGGCTTCTAATAGAAACAAATTGTGTTTTTGGTTTTTTTTACACTTTTTGTGTAAAACTGTATTTTGTGGCTGTTAGGTTTTAAATTAATTAACAGCATATTTTGTGTAACTATTAGTCAGCATAGTCACCTTTTAATATTTCTAATTACAGACATATTTTAAATATATTTTCCACTTATTTTAATCGTCTCAACTCCAATTTGTTGGTTTCAAATCATTGCGAGAGAACAGGTTTCTCATCTTGTAGTGTTCAGCAGTGAGTAGACATCTCATGACACACGCTTCTCAAGCTCTTCCTTGAATTGAAATTTTGGGTGCATGTTTTTGAAGAGTCTCTCTGTGTGTAATCAACCTCTTGATCAGAAGCAATTTTCTTGCTGTGAATTCTGACCAGTGAGTGTTTCACATTTTGCAGAATCAGGGTGAAATGAGGTGAAATGAGGTGAAATGAGGCGAGGCAGCTCCCACACTGCAGGAGTCCTCCTTAACAATGCTTTAAAATTCCTCAAGATGCCACAATATGATAAAATCATGTTGTGAGAAGATTTTTGAAATCATTTGTTGGTTTTTTAAATTATCATTGTTTGATTGAAGTCACAGCATCCATTAAAAAGAATACGCATTGCTGTCCACTGGGGAGTGAAGTGAAGGCCGTGCTGGTTTTCTGACCTTAGAAGTCGTCATCAGAATAATTTGAAGAAAAACTAGAGGATTTTGAAAAATATAATGCAGCCAGTAGAATGCTCAACCATAAATGAATTCTTTAAAACCAGATTAATATTGTTAAGATGCTGTTAATATATTTTTATATTAATAGTAATACACTAATGTAATCTACGGTTGTCCTTTCTGCTCATAACTGTCCACATCTGCCAACTACCAAATATCTCTTTGCCTCAAACGGGACAGAATCACAGTTTCAAAACTCTGACCTCTCAATCTCTCCAGAATGTAAAATGTTGTGTCTCCGAGCGTGGAGAAGCAGAACCTCTGTGAACAGGGACGTGTTGTGCAGATGTCTGGTGTTATTGACTCCTCATGGTAACGTCTCAGCTTTGCGTGCAGGGATCAGGATCAAGCACCATGTTTCCACCGATCAGCATAATGTCACTTGACATCTCTTGCACACATTGCGTCTACTTTTTCAAAACTTTATAATCAGACACTTTATATATATATATTTCCCACAGAGTGAATATTTGACCCATTACGCACTGGAGAGTAAAAAATGGACTTAAGATGCTAAGTCTGTGAAGTGGGTTATAACGAGAGGAACGTCTACTTTCCAAGAATATTCTCCTCTTGTTAGTCTCAGAAGTTTTGCTTCACTTGTCTTCCCACAGACAAATTTAAGAGCATTTTCAACAGCCCTCAGAACTGATCAATATATTTTAGAACTGACATGATTAATACCACACGTTACTTCACATATATACAGAACTAACCTACTTGTGGATCTGAATTTATTAAAGGAAAATTATCCAAAATAGGCGACTTTATAGAAATATATGGAGACTTTATTAAAGATGTCACATCGCAATACATCAGTTTTGAAGAAATCAGCTTTTCTGAATGCTGTTTTTTTTATCAACTTAAAAGTTTATAAGGTGATTTGCTGCATACCTTTACAATAAGATACAAAGTGATGAGTAATAATCAAGGTTTTTATTTCCTCTCAGGTATGAATAAAGTCTAAACTAACTTGATCTGCTTATGTAAAACTTCTCTTCACATCCTTTCTCCCAGTCACGTAACCAATAACAGTGTTCTTATTCCTGCTATATGCTCACGACCTATCGTGTCACATAAACGGTGATAAATATGGATGGAACAGATTATGGAGGAAAAAACACCCGCGTTAGCTGTTCAGGGTGAAGATGTCACCTGAACAGGGGCAGATCCAGGGGCTGGGTCAGGGTGGCGCTGGCCCCAACTGAAATCTGCTTGGCCCCATGAATTGGCCCTTTCCTGTTAGCAGTCTTACAACTGACACCAACAACAAATACGACAATTTGCTAATATTTGTTATTTTCCCAAATGTTTTGAAGAACAATGTGATAGAACAATGAACAATTTTCAAAATCTATTCAATGATGTGTGGCTACAGAGCTAACAGTAAACAAGCATGACTTAAATGTGCACCTTTATGAATTCAGGAATTGTGCGTGGACGTTGGACATATAATTTGCCCCTCTGTGTAAATTGTTGCCCCTGATTTAAAAAAAACCACTGCAACTGTAGGAGGTAAAAATAGTTACAAAATTGTAATTGTACATGTTTCATTTTGATTCGTGTACAAAATCAAATCTGTCTCAAAATAGTTCTAATATATAAATATATAGAAACAGGAAACAGTGGACACGAGTTCAGCCTTTCTAGTGTTAAACACCTCTCGTCTTTCCAGCACACTGCACCATGTTTAAGTTATGGCTGTCCAGTGGAAATGAGATCCAGTTGAGTTGAGCTGAGCTGAAATTGTCCTCATCAGCTTTCAGTTTGCTGGTCGCAGCTTCACAGGCCCTTTACATTAAAGTGAGCCCCCTGTGTGAAAGGCATCTCTAAATGCATGCCATGTGTGCGGCTAAGAGCAGGGGGTCTTGGTTCTATGGACCGGTCTGCGAGCTGTGACAAACTCAGGATTATTAGACTGGCTTTTATTTGAACACACCAGAACCAGACACAAACGAGGTGCAGTCAGTCACACTTTGCATGGCAGCGAGCTGAGCAGCCTCCCTATTCATCCTCCCTCCCTTCCGCTTCTCTTCGCTCTTACTTTCATCCACTTTTAATGTGAGACACTTTGATACTGAACATCCTATTTCCCGTGTTCTGGTCGGTTGACTTTACATGCAGATGGGTTGGTAATTTGCATAGACCCTTCTCTCCTGATGCCTTCTGACAATGGAGCGTCTATTCATCCTCTGTGTTAAGCACCCCTCTGAGGACACTGGCTGAATTGCTGTCTCATGCTGCTTCAGGTCTCGTTTTACACTGCGGGAACTGCTGAGGAATTGGATGAGGAACATATTCCTTTGGAGAAAAGCATCACGTTAGCCGAGGCGGGCCCACATCTGAGTGTCGGAAACGGATATTTCACTCCGATATCAGAGCTCGTCACATGTTTCGCACCGAGTCAAGCCAAGTGTGACCTTAAGTCGTGCTGAGAACATATCACACACACCGTTAGCTCTGTGGATTCTGTTATGACTTAGTCCCACCTGGGAGATTTGGAGAGAAACGCCGGCGTGCACCGAGAGAGGAGCAAGGAATTATGGGCCTAATGCACAGGAGGAAACTCTGATCACCCCACTTCTTCTTATTCTCACATCACCTCAAGTGGCTGCTCTGATCTTACTCCCACCGCCCGAATCAAACCCGTCTTTGGAGAACCAATTAAGTTCAAATATGCACAGGAGGGAAAAAATAGACACTTTTTATTCCTGCTTGTTCCACTTGTTCTCAGATGACACAACAGTTGCTGTATTGGAATTTTAAGAATGTTTTATTTGCAGATTTCAAACAAACCCTGTTTCAAATGCAGAGCTGTGCAAAATTAAAGTAGACATTAATAAATATGCAACGTGTAAAAAAAAAAAAGTATTTCATTCCAGACAATTTTAGGCCCCTGCCAGTCAGTACCCATATCCTCCCACTATGTCACCCCGGATGTTTCTATGCCTCTGTCCTTCAGGTCCAAATAAAAACATCAATTTAAAATTCATCTGAACTGAACAGAAATCCAGAGTTACAGTACGCTGGAAAGGCACAGAGGAAGGAAGTGGTGCGGTGACTACAGTGGATAGTGATTGGATGAAGCAGTGAAGCCAAAAACAGGAAAAAGGATGAAACAGTCAAGTGAGAGTGATGGAGTGACAACTGAAGGAGGATGAAGATGAAACTGCCGGAGACAGTGAGACAAGAGTAATAAACTTAAGACAGATATCACACAATGTCCCTGGATTGACAGCAAATACAGTAACAAAAAACTAACACTACCACAGGCATACAAAACTTCTCTTAAAGGTTCAGTTTTAGGTGAAAGGGATTCAATGGCAAAAATTCAATATAAAATAATAGTAGTAATGTATCACTTTATATTTACATTGGGAGGGGGTTCTCTATACAGAGGCGGCCATGTTTTTACAGTAGCACAGACTGGACAAACTAACTTTAATTTTTATGACAACTGAAGTCTCCCACAGGTTCTCTTTATTTTTGGAAGGGGAGGATGAGGTGAGGCGTATTCAGCTGCAACATGCAACTTCACCACTAGACAATATACTTTAAGTTTAAAAAGAACACTATGATATAAAATATATCCTTGATATAGTATTACTGTATTGGTAATATTATATTGAAATATACATGCATCCAAGGAATAAAAAGCATTCACTGTTGTAGCCTGCTGAAGTGAAAAAAAGTTTCTACTACTCAAGGGAGTTCAGTCCAGGGATTCCCACCCTCGGGGTCGGCCCTCCCCTAAAGAGTCACACAATAAATCCCAGAGCTCCTCAGATGATTAATGGAGTAAAATACAAAAGCTGCTATATTTTTCTTTCCCTTTTTTAAACATTAGGTCATTTTATCTACCTGTAGGACTAAAGTGTATTAATGAAACCTTTGGAAAAGCTTTGAAAAGCTATACACAGGTGAACTGTTAACAGGATCAAGGAAGCCCAACCCTCATTGATGCAGGTGAAAGCTGGCCCATGTGGACCAGTCCCACTTAAGCCCTACTTTAGGACTAAATGCAGAGAACAGTAATGTCTATGACATTAAGCTGTCAAAAAACACAGTGCATCACAGTGTATGGTGCTTTGAGGCCGCACACCAGTCGGAGTGCTTATGTTGACAGCTGCACACCACTGAACATTCATGCAAGGCCTGGTCTGATGAATCAAGTTCTCTGATACATCACGTGGATGAATGGGTTCATGTGTGTCATTTACCTGAGGAGGAGATGGACCTGGCTTTCATATGAATTTTACTTCCTCATATACGGACATTGTTGCAGAACAAGTACATGCTGTCACAGCCAAAAGTATTCCCTGAAGGCTGTGGCCTATTTCAGCAGGATAATGTTCTCTGCCACACGACAAAAACTGAAAGAAGAATAGTAGAACAACCGTGATTTCTTGCTATTCACTCACTTACATGAGTAGCATAATTTATCATTTATAAATTCATGCTTTGCTAGTTAATGAGTTAACAATGTTTTTCTGTGCTTTGATTACATAATATAGTAAAAGTCCACTAACTGCACAGAATGATTCAATTTTGTATATTTTGACATTTATGTATGATTTGATGATTTGCACATTTATATAATAATAATTTTGATGCATGGTTGATATGCATGAAAGACAGATAAAGCATACCACCATGTCTCCCACCCTATATTAAAAAATAATAATAATCTAAGGTATGATATTTTCAGGGGCTTTATTGAAAGATTTGGCACCACAACCTTCTGCCTGATCAGCTGACATGACTCATCCGACACTTCAGAGTCAACCCCCCCCTCTGACGTGACGGCAGCTGCGGAGCTCATAAAGGAGGCACCACAGGATTCTACATCCTCTCTCAGTGTGTGTGCTCCTGTGATTTGGTTGCTGCACGGGCAGCGTTTCGGGGGCCACAATCAGAAATATTGCTTGGGGCCACCAAAATCCTAGAGCCGGCCCTGGATTGAGCATCTGTAGGACCCTGTGTAACTTAGAGGGTTAATGGATCTGATAGAGACATACTAATACACTGAAGCACTTTGTAAGCTTGTTTAGATAAGTGCTATAGATATAAAATTGTATTAATTATTATTATTAATATTATTATTATTATCATTATTATAGCATGGTGGCAGGAGGTGGACCGATATAATATTATGTGATTTTTAACATTGTGGCTGATCAGTATTTAGGCCTATCATGATAAGTAAAAATAATCAAACTAGAAAATTACAATGAACAACAACTACAACTAATTCGATTTAAGAAATCAACTAGAAATTTAGAACAATTTCTCCTTAGTTTGTTAATCTTTCTGTTATCTCTTTTAACATCTAATGTGCAGGACAAAGTTTGGTTCGCATGAGGGGACTCCACTCAGACACTGTGAGTCTATAGAAATATAATTTTCTACCACACAAATCTCATCATCTCACACAATGTCCCGGTGTGTTTATCTCTCCAACAAAACACACACCATTACATTTATTCTGTGATTATGAAGCCTCTGTTCATTGCCTCTTTTATTACTGTTATTATTAATAAATCAAGCAGGCAGTGGGGCCCGGACAGGGAAGTTAAAGGGGTGTGTGTGTGTACGAGGGGCCCGGGCTGGAGGTGGTAATTGCTGGTGTAACAGTGTGTACAGCCCCGCGGTGGCCTCATAAGCGACCCGCTTTATTAGATCGGCCGGTATCGATCCTCGCTGCGCGGCGTTGACTAATCTGCAGGCGCGGGGAGGGAGAGAGGCAGCGGATCGATGGGCCTGGATTCAATCATGTCTGGAAACAGAGAAGGTAATTTGTTGTAATCACGGCTGCTAAATGGAAAACGTGAGAACAACGCGCCCGTGAGGTGCGTGGAGAGAACTACAACATCAAGAGCGGAGCTTTTCCAGTAAAAGGCCCGGACACACACACACACACACATGCTCAGTTAAACACACTGTGGTCTGCAATTATGGATATTCAGCCTGAGTCATACAAGAATCAATAGGAGCCTGCTGCACGACCTTCACTACTCTGCTGCACGCACACGAGTTTCTAAAAGCTGATTTTCTCACCTTGACAGAAAACCTTTTCACATTATTTACTAATTCGTTTTGATAGAGGCTCTTTTTCTGGGCAGAATGGTCTTATTGGATTTGGAAAATAAGACAAATGGATTCACGAGAGTGAGGTAAATCTAGAGCTGCGTCGAGAAGCCCTGCAGGCGGCCGTTGGTGTGTTGAGAGTCCTCCTTAAAATAGTAACATGACAATAGAAAAAGATGACACGGATTGATGTTTTATTCAACAGCACAGAGCCATTACTTAAGACGCACTGGTAACACACACACACACACACACACACAATCTCATTCTGCAGTTACACGAGACAGAAAAATATTCACATGAAGACTACAACAAAATGTCCAATGTGCAATTTGTGTCCATCAGCAACAGGCGACGTCAGCCACGGGAGTTCCGCTCCTCTTCTTCGTTCTCCAGGAGGTAGGCAGGCCTGTACCGCGTCACGCCTCTCGCGTCCACCATCTGCAGCGACGTGTTTCGACAGGTGTTGTCCATACTGCCCAGTGAAGTGTACCTGCGGGTCGACCCGGGGAGTTTTAGACCCAGAACTGCTCGCTGCAGCTGTGATGTTCAAATAAATCAGTGGATACAGAAAATGCACAAAGAGAAGGTGGATGTGTTCTTACCCTTTGTCATAGAGGATACAGTAGGGAACATACAACGTCCTCAAGAACGACCAGATGTCATGATACGTCCAGTCCTGTAGAGCGTTAGAAGGCATTGACTTTAGGTGGTTTGTGACTGAATCGTGATTGGTTCAATCTGAGGTAACTAATCCTCCAGTGCTAAAAGACGATACATGTTGTTTGGAGCTGGAGTCAACTGTTAAACATGCCAGTGTTTCTGTGTCCTACCTATCAAAGCTGACAAATCTACAAACTGCTGTTTGGACGTTATTTGTCTTTTCTAAATACATTTTTAAAGATTCAAATGAAGCAGGTGACATTGTTTTGCTGCACTTCTCTTCTTCAACGACATTGGAGGGTGCAACCACATGCAACCCAACATCAATAGACCAATAGACTTATTAGTTGTGTATGTGTCACGGGGGGTTTAACTGTGTACTGTGGAACTTCAGTATATACATGTATGGATAAAAAGGACCATTGTCAATACAAACTATTATAATTTGCTCCACAATGTATAATGACTGCAGGGATATTGAACTGCACTGTTCACACACTGTAGATCTGTGCTTTGTACCCTCAGTCGAAATAAGGATGAAGTGGAAACTGCCTGGTTGGAGAAGTGAAAAAGATACATACTATTATACTACTGTATCTAAAGCATCTATTGCATTTCTGTCTGTCCTGGGAGAGGGATCCTTCACGTGTGGCTCTCTCTGAGGTTTTGGTTTCTTGTTTGTTTCACTTAAAAGAAATAGTCATTTTGATGTTGCGGTCTTCTTTTTTTAAAAACTGGAAGTCAGTGCTCCTAAACCCTGTTTAATGTCTTTACCTGTTCCATGTGCTTTTTAAAGAATGTAATATTAGAGACGTAATTAAGTAACAGTATCTGGATGTTATTTGAAAGTCTCACTAGTAAGGGGTTGACTCTCATGTAGTCTGGCCAGCCAGGGTCTGTGGGACACATTGGTGTGAGTGTGTGCGAGTAGGGGTCACTCTTCCTGGTCCCCATCAGGACGGCTCTCAGCTCTGGCTTCCTTTCCTGTACATCGCTCAGCGCCTGCCGAATACTGCCCTCCACAGAGAACAGATCCAGGTCGTATCTATAGGAGACACATGCTAAATAATGAGCTGCTGTGTTGTAATGTAGAAAAGATTAGGACCACAAAATACAATACACATAATAACACAATCATTTGGACTGACGAATATATAATGATACAAAGAACAAACATCAAAAAAGTCACTCACTGAAATGTTTTCATTGAAAGAAATATTATTTCACCTTTTGATTGTGTCCTGGAGGAATCTCTCCATTTCTGGGAACGGAGAGACGATACGGATATAGAGAGCTTTCACCTTGTCTTTATCATCTGGATACCGTCTGAGTGGCAGGAAGAGAGAAATGGGACATTTAAACAAGATAAATAACAGAAGGACAGAAAATGATTAGATAAGAGTCCATTCTCCTTATCATTATGTCCCACTATCTGTCCAGGGCAGGTCGACAAGAGTGGAAAAAAAAATCTGTCTAGAATTTTTCTCTGCCTAGTCGCTGCTCTTCCTCCTCCACCTATTTTGTACTGTTACAACCGACTGTGCAGAGGTGGCATCATCATGTTTTTAATTTGAATCTCCTTTTAAACTCTTTTCTCTCAGGTCATTTGTTCTGTCCTGGTTATATTCTCCCTGCCCCCCTGTTACCGTTTCATTGCAGCGTAGTAGAGATGCAGCAGCGCCGTGCAGTCTTTGCCTCCGTTGAAGCCGACACAGACTTCCTCAGTCGAATACTGATCCAGTGCAACCTCTATCGTTTTCAGAGCAGACTTAACTTTCTCTCCCAGTGGTGTGTCTGTTGGAAATCAAACCCAAAGTGAGAGGATGTTTTACAAGGAAATAAATATTTTGTAGGGTATAATATCAATGATCCCTCATTTCTACATCAAATCAAAATATTAAAAATATTTTTTGTCCTTTGTCTTATCTTTGTTAATGATGCATGACTCTATTCTTTATTCAGTCTAATACCAGTTTATATATTTTTTAATCTTCAATGATTTAACAGCTTTAATTACTTTCATCTCTATGCTTCTTTTACTGGTCCCTACGCCTGTGTGAAGTATAATTGTTTTCTTCAATATTCACTTCATATTAAATTTGCATAATTTAACTGTCTGCACCCCGTCCCCCACTCACCACTATTGGCCAGCATGTACACCTCAGCAGTGGCGATGGACACTGGATCAGTGACTAACGGCACCATGCTATCCTTGGGCAGCTCGTCCAGCAGCTGTGCCCGGGCTTTGTCCACTTCTTCCTGGCTGTTTGAGTCCAGGACCAGCCTGACTCGATGATAGTTACTCAGCCAGTCAGGGTAGGAGCCTAGAGCCACCTTCCTACCCCAACCAGCCTGCAGTTTGGTCAGCACGGGGGCGATCTCTGCTTCATCTGCATCCACAAACACCTAGCACAATAATACTCGATGAGTTTACTTGTATTATGAAAACGTAGAATACTTACGGACATTTTCTTAAAGGATAGGGCTGGTCCAGGTGTTACCTCACAAGTGTGAAAAGTGGTCCCTGAAGCAGCAAAGAGTTTCTCAAGACCACTGAAGGCCCTCTCCAACAGAGAAGGGATCCCAGGAAAGATGAACACGTTACGCACACTGACCTGGGAACAGACACATTATGTACTGTAAGAATATATATATATATATATATATATATATATATATATATATATATATATATATATATATACATATATATAGTTTGCGATAGAATCTTTGTGAAAGTTGTGTCAGCTACACAGTTTTGTGAAAACCCAACTGAATCGTAACACACAGGTGTGGAGGGTGCTGCTCCATCATGTCTAGTATAATACCATCCAATGTAGTTTTCTGTAACAACATGAATCACTGCATTTGACACTTGCCTCTTAATGAAACAACTAAGCTATTCCAGCTCTGCCCTGCACTCTCTCACCAGTGGGTAGCGAAGCAGTTTTCCAGTCTGAGGATCGGTTCCATAGTTGAGTTTGGCTGAGCGAGGCACCATGGCCAGCTTCATCGTGGCGCTGCTTTTGTCCACTTCACCGAAGAATTCTTTAACCAACTGAGCGAGCTCAGGGTGGAGATGCAACTCCTCCTGGAACGCCATGGCGATGCTCTCAAAAGTGACATCATCGTGGGTAGGGCCTATGCCTCCTGATGTGATGAGGTGTGTGTACTGAGGTGAAAGGAGGGCCACCTCTTTGGCAATGACCTCCTGAATATCTGGTATGACTGTAATCCGCTGCACAGACACTCCGAGTCTCCTTAGCGCTCGTGTCAGAAAGGCACTGTTTGTGTCCACTGTCTGACCCTGGGCCAGAAAGAACAAGAACAAACTTTTAGTTTTAATCCAGTGTTCCCACCCTCACTTTGGAAACACATTCAAGGACTTAACAATGACTTCAATGTCTTGCTTGATGATATTGAAATGACTCACAATGAGTAAATCTCGAGCTGAGATATGACATTGGATAAAAACAAAAGCTTCATGTTTAAATCATGATGAAGTCAAGAAATAATGGAGAAACTGTCATTTTAAAACCGTGCACTGGACCAAACTGCATGTCCGTTAGTGTCATGTTAACATGTATGTATTCATAAAAACACTTTCAAGTGTCCAGATTTATTAGATATTCTTAAATCCACAAACGCTCAAGGATTCTCAGAAGGTTACTATCAATCACACAAGTGCAGCTTCAAAGTTGTACAACCACAAGCATCTATCAACACTATACTACCTTGAGTATCTCATCTCCAATGATGAGAATGGCTGCAGTGGGAGCATCCCCATTGCGGAGCAGACTTGAGCCCGGCTGGTTTGAGGACATTGTTGCTTTGGTGAGTTGAGCTGCCAGTCTCCTCGCACGCACCACTGCTCTACTCAGCCTGGGTAGAGCAAAGCTGGAAGACACAGTCAAAAATGCATAAGTCAATGTAATATATATATATATATATATAGAGAGAGAGAGAGAGAGAGAGAGAGAGAGAGAGAGAGAGAGAGAGAGAGAGAGTTTCTGTTCTCATATTAATTTAAACCGTGAACTGCAGTTATATATCAGTAACAACTCATTACTATAGCATCTTAAATGTCATGTATATTAAACCATTAATACATTTCAGTACAATCTAAACAAATACTTTTAATCTTACATCAACATGAGGAATCCATATGTACTATCTCTATTACAGCTCAGGCCCTCTTCATCTTCTTAACTTGTCTTTGATCAGGAAATATCTTGGGAAAGACACATGTAGTTGCAGATTAGAAACAGAAAAAAATTAAAGGATAAGACAAGAAGCACTGAGCAACACAGACAGAGCATCTACAAACAATTATTATTTCTTTATGCAATTCAGCAGTACAGACATAGTAAATGGGCTGCATTTATTTGGCCTTTTTCAGTCTTATCAACCACTCAAAGTACTTAACAGTACAATTAGCAATGACCCATTGACACGCTCATTCATGCAGCAGTTCTATAAACAGAACATCATAATTTTGGGTTGAGTATTTTGCCCAAGGACACTTCAGAATACAGGCTGGAGGTCAAACCTCCAACTTTCTGATTAGCGGACGACCCTTTCCACCTCCTGAGCCACAGAGCACAGACAAACAAACATCATTTCTCAATTAATATTAACTGTCAGGGCTCGGAGCTGAAGTTGAATAGTTGAGGGCAAAATAAGAAATCAAGAGTGACTATGACACTGCATTTGGATGGATATGATTGATTAGTCTGGAGGGAAATTATTTTAAATCTATGAAATTAGTTTGTGCAATAGTTGCACTGGGGACACTGGTGGTGGTCTCTCAATTACTAAATGTGACAATCGCCCATGTCTCCTTCAGTATCTTAGTTCCAATGAATTGAATCATAGATAGATAGATAGATAGATTACTTTATTCATCCCCAAAGGGAAATTAGGTCGTCATAGCAGTTCAGTATTTGGATACAATAAAAATACAATAGAATAAGATACCGGTGAATGAAAACTCAGATGCACTGTTAAAAGGTGAAGCAGACAGATCGGTGTGCACTGTGCCACAGTTCTGATAAACAACGCTGAAGCAAGCTGATGGTGCAGACCAGAGTGAATACAACTTGTGATGTGAGAGGAAGCATAGTTCAGAGAGGGAGCAAGGGTTCAATGGGCAGAAATATTCGCTCCCAGTCACAGGAACACGTTACTGAACGCTGCAGAGCACCTTTTAAGTTGCGCAACACTGAAACTTACGTAAATAATACAAACAAGACACGTGCACATTCATTACCGTTCATAAAACTAACGCACAGATGAATGATGAATACGAATCGCACACACGAGGACTTCTATAGCAAATCTTCGCTAGTTGTCCCAAGTCTCCTTGTTAGCTTACTGGAGAGTCACAAGGAGACTCGAGCTACAACCGAACAGAACGTTAGCATCCGAGCGCAGTGACGCAACATGTTGTATTTGTAGATAATAACGATGTCTCTCGACTTTCATCTGCTGCGAAGAATTAAATGAGGTATTCTTTTTTTTTTATAATTTGATGAACAAACCAGCGAACCTTCCTCTGGAGCAGCTGGGGGTCCTGGTTTGTGGTTACATGTCACTCAAAGGACAACTGTCCAATCACGAACGAGAAATGGCTTCACGAGTTGTCCGGCAGCCACTCCAGGCACACGGAGGCGGGGCATAGCTCAAATCTGTTGTCACCGAACACGGAAGTGACTTAAAGAAGCTCCGTGTTTTAATTGAAGAAATGAAGCCGATGTGGTTTAATACATATGTTTATAAAGAGGAATATTAGCTACAAGAACTGCGCTGATGACTCGTCTATTGGAGAAGATTCACTCTGCAGCGTCTACGCTCGTCTGACCACGATGCTAACAGCTGCTAGTGTCACGTTCTTCTTCAGCCTGAATATGAACAGACTAGTATCACGTGTGTGCCCCCAGTGGCTGGAGGAGGCAAGTCCAGAACACACTGACATTCCTCGACTTATAGATATTACTTCCCTGACCTGTAGGTGGCGTGTTTGCATGACTTCAACTGTCCAGCTCAAATGAACAGCATGTAATGTTTATCTGTTTTAACATTTAAGTGTCAATGTAATATTTTTTAATGATGTGTAATATTATAACAAGTGTTATTGCAGACTGATTAGCAAACATATACAGAAGAACTTTTCTGTCTGAGTTGAGACTATAATAATTTGAATCATGAAATAATGAGTCAAAATAATGATATAATTAAATCAATAAAAACAACATAATGAATATACATTTTTTCCAGAAAATAAATACTGTCTACATATATTATATGGATTTTGTTAAGTTTTAAGTTTAGCACATTTTAACTGAGTATCTCATAATTTGTACCTACAGGGAGTGTGTCATATCTTTTTTCCTATTTAGTTGGCAAAGACAGACTGCCATGCTCCAGAAGAGGGTCTATTTCATAGACATATTGAAAAGCTAAAGCTGCTCCATTCCAGTGTCCCAGAGAGACATGACAGAGGAAGTCAGCAAGAATGAAACCAGGTCCCTGAAACAGGAGCAGAAGGAGCTCAGCCATCATCTGTGATATTGATTGTAACTGTGCTTTTCCTCTTGTGTAGTGATGAAATCAATTTTGTAAAAAGCAGGGGTATTGCAACAGGGTAGGCAAAGCAAGCAAATTGCCCGGGGCCCTGAGCTGTTCTCTGAGGCCCCCTCTGAGGACAGCTGACTGCATTAGTCCACATGATGACGATTTTGTGAAAACCCCCTTAAATTCTCTGATCGGCAACATGTTGTTGTGGATTCTGCTGCAACGCTGTTCACCACTGAAACTCCAAAAGTGTTGCGTCGACTCAAACACTTCACCCACCCCATCCATCTGCATAGTTGTGAGTGAAGTTTCATTTTTGGGTGAAATATCCCTTTAAACATATCTTGTAATAAACAGAGCAGCAATATAGCTCAGCCTAACTTAGATAATACATAGATAAGAGATAAGATCAAACTTTATTGATCCACACTCTGAGGAAACTCAGTTGTTATAGCAGCAGGCAGATCCGAATGAAAAAATAAAAGTAAATTAAAAAAACTGCTGAGTACAATATACACCTTTCGCTATCTGTAAGAACATTGATATTTATATTGAGCAAGCTACAATACAAAGAGTTGATGAAGTTAATAATAAGGAGGTGATAATACAGATGTTTTATTTTTCTTGTGGAAAATGGAGACAGTTTAGTGAAATAAGGACGAAAATGAATCTTCACTTTAGTTTATTTAAGGTAAAATAAACCAGGTTCTGTTTCTGGCTCGCGATGTGGGGCATTTCACTTTTGCGCAATCTGCATCGAATAGGCCAGGTGCAAAACACACGCACACACAAACACACGCACAAACACGCGCACTACACGCACACGCTACACGCGCGCGCGGGGCCAGATGACGTTGCCATTTGTTCGCGGAAGTGGCTTCTGTCGTAGAGGGAGGGAGGAGGAGGAGGAGGGAAGGAAGGAAGGAAGGGGAGAGAGCAGTGAAGAAGTTTCAGAGTCAGACCGTATGAAAGTTAATGTGAAGTGTTTGTGCGGAATAAGAAGCTTCGGGCCTGTGATCTGCTGTTGGATGAAACTCAGCTGAAGTGAGTCTGCTGAGGAGGAGGAGGAGGAGGAGGGACACATCGAGGCGAAGGGAGGAAGAGAGCTGGTAAGTTGCGAGTTAAAGTTGACCACACTTTGTCGGGGCATGGGTTCGTACGTGGTGTGCGTCAGTTCACCGCAGTTGTTCTACTGATGGTAAATAAATTCAAGTTTCAGGGAAACAGCTCGACTTTTCTTTGCGTGGTGCCTTCAGGGAACCATTGTTCTCCTGGCCGTGTGCAGTTTGTGTTGCTGTGGGGTTTCTGTAAAATGTTGCTCATGATCACAGTGGCCCGTGAACACATCTCACTCATGTTGTGTGTTCGTCCCTCTCACACACTGAACAACACTGTGGCGTCACAGTGTGTTAATGTGCTGAAGTTAGTTATTAGATGTGATGAAGAGTCACCTGAGTGGCCCCGAGCCTGTGTCTCCTTCTGTGATAATGTGAGTTAATAGAGGATCAGTCACTAAAATGTCTTTTGGTTGGTGAGGCAGACACAGAGATGCTCTCTAATTAGGTCAGAGCTGAAATGATGAGTCTATTGATCAAGGATAAGCAAATATACTCAAAACTAGTCTATGGTGGCCCTGAAGTGCAAATCTCAAAACTCAATGGCAAATAATAAAAACCAACAGCAAATTACAAAACACAACATTAAGTTCTAACGGAAAAGGTAAGAACCCACTATTCACAGGATGGTCGCACTGTCCTCCTATTTTCTTATTTTTTGTTGGGGTTTTTTGTAATTGCGTTTTCCTTTCCGTCGTTCTCTTTGGTGAGTTGTAATGTTTTCTTATTTGTCGTCGCCTTTTATCGTCCGCTGTTCAAATTGGCGTCAAATTGGTGATTTGTTGTTATTCCTTCTTATTTGTTGTTGTGGTTTGGTTTTTGCAATTGTGTTTCCTTGTATGTAATTGTGTGTCCTTATTTGCCGTCCTTTGTGATTTACTGCTGTGTTTTCTCATTTGCTGTTGTCTTTTGTGATTTGCACTTTACGGCCACCGCACTTAACTTGCTTCTTCCATCTTCTCCAATGGGACAACTTTTCTATTTTAGCAGAATGAGTGTGAATTCACACAAAGAAAGCATTTCAATTCGTTACCGATTACAAACATTGTTTTGACAAAATTGAAACGATATTTGACAAGGAAATGATAATTAATTGTTGCCATAACTTGAGTATTTTAGACCTAATTCCATAAATAAAATGGATCCTGGTAGTGTCAGGGTCCATCTCTACAGGTTAAAGTAAATTATCTATGAGATAAACTGCAGAGTACATCATTGCACACACATACGTACACAAGGATAACCATAAATCTGTACACAATCCCACAGTAAACCTTCAGTCCAACTATTTTCTCTGTGTCCATGGAGACCTATCAGCTAAACACACCTCGGATGTGTTGAAACAGGGTCACTGTGGCAAGAGTTAAAGTTCACCGTGAGCGAAGGACAAGCAGACGATTATGGAAACAGACTCAAAGGCATGTGGGATGATTGAGGTGACTGAAAGCAGTGGGCTCAGTTCTTCTTATCAGGGTCAGCCACACTGTCCAGAGGTGGAAGTCATCTCCGCTAATGAAATGGAGGTTGAGAAGACGAGCTCCGATCAACAACTGATCCAAAAAATGGTAGATTCGGACACATCAGGAGTTAGACGAACAGGACACGGGTGCACCTACACACACATATACCAGGACGAAAACTACACAACCTGAGGGACAGCTTGTGACACAACCTGTCAAAGCGCAGCATCTCTGTCACTCTATCACGGCACTGGCATGATCCAAAATCCACTTGATTAAAATTGGATCTGTCCAGTTCTGCTCAAACCATATCAGTCACAGATGAAAGCATTAGTCCTCCTGAGTGACAGCGGAGAGTGACACTTGATTGTTACAGCCTCACTTTGACAGGTGTGTACTCACCCAAAGACGCACACGCAGCCACACTAGAAATAAGCTTTTCTTTTTTTTTTTGTGAGTGGTGAATGCTAGTGCTGATATTAGCCTTGAATTAGTCCTGTGATGCTTGAAACTTAAGTATTGATAGAACACAGTGAGCTGCTGTAGACACGTCGAGGCTGCTGACAGGACAATGCAGTTTTGTGTGGGTATCTGTGCACGTAAGAATGTGTTGGTCTGTGTCTTTTTCATCTGGTGTGTGTGCTACTATGTCTGTCTGTCTGTCTGTCTGTCTCTGTGCCTGTGTGGAGCTATGTTTGTGTGTTTGCATCTGGTGTTGTTTTCATGAAACTAACGTAGGAGTATGTTTTTGAGGTCATAGCGTGTGGTTGTCCGTCTCTATACCTCGACACAATGGAAATGAGTCTCAGATGTGTTTCCTCCTGTGCTGCTCGGGTCAAGCCCAACAGGGTTTAAATTCTGTGTGAAATCAACAATGAAAAGTGAGTGTAGCTTGGGTGTAATTAACAAAAAACAAAAGTTAAAACACACTGTAATGCTATAGTTGGATTGTGTATTAGCTGGCCCTGTTTGTTACTTTATCTTTGACATGATATACAGTGTGAATCTGCTGTGTCATGTACTTCAAGTTGCAAGAGTAATCTCTGTCTTTATCATGGTTGATATCTTTTTATGCTGAAAGCTGAGATTACATTATACAGAATTTACCTCTGTTTGCAAAGCTTGCACCCTTCCTGAAGCTGTGGCCAATGTGTCGGTATGAGATTAAACTTGTTCGTCTGCCATACAATGTCCCTTTAAGGTTAATGTCACGTCTGGAGCACGACAGATCCTCATTCCTAGAGCTGTTATCGCTGTGTTATGCTTTTGATTGTTCCATAATGATTGCAGAGATTAGAAAATAACCAACAGTAGATCACATATGATTGTAAACTGCAAACAAACAGCCAAACAGGAACTTGTCAGGCCTTAAATCAAGAAATATCTGATCTGAGAATAAACATGTTCAAGGCCTGACAAAGGGCAGCAACTTTTTTTACTCAACAGTTTTGAGTAAGAAACACACACTCAGACATATCTGAGTGTGGACGTCAGAACATGTGTTACTCACAAAGTAAAGAAATGAAGTAACACCGCTTACGACAAATAAACTGTTATAGCGAGGGGGAAGTTGTGTGTGGAGAAAGGCAGTGGGTGGCAGCAGGAAGGGAATGATGGAAGGAGATAAAGATGTGGGAGTGTGGTTAGAGGGGCTGCTTGGGGGGGTTGGCACAACCCAAAATAGCCGGCTCACATGTTTGCTGTGTGCGTGGTGAGCTATGAAACCAGCAGA